CTTTTTCCCCCTCTCCCCCCTTTTTTCTTTCCCTTTTCTTGGGGGCTTCCCTTTTTTCCCCCCCCCCCCCCCAAAAAAAAAAAACGAAACAGGAACAGAACACTCCTCTCCTCCTCGCTCCCGCGTCGCTCGGCGGCCCTCTATCTTCCGCCGTCTCTTCTCTTACGCCTCTACATTCTATCTCTCTCTCCTCTCTCTCTCTCTCTCTTCTCTCTCTCTAATGCCTATTCACATCACCATTATGTCATTAATAATCAAGCTAACACAGCCTGGCTAGGACCTGCTTGCAATTGATCAAGACTGAGCCTAGCTACTAGGCTATGTTGTTGCAAATGCCAACGTGTTAGCTAGCTTGTTTGCCTTTAATGAATGTTTTCGATTGCGTTTTTGTTTTTGTGCGTTTTGCTCTTGAAGCACATTCAAAAACAGAAAAATGTATACAGAAGGTGTCACACTTTCCCAGCGTATATATTTGAATTGACTGTTGATTCATAATCATGAAAATATTATTTAATTTGTTGAGGGCAGATGTAAGGTATACTGTATGTGTGGTATACTGTATATATGGTATACTGTATGTGTGGTATACTGTATGTGTGGTATACTGTATGTGTGGTATACTGTATGTGTGGTATACTGTATGTGTGGTATACTGTATGTGGTATACTGTATGTGTGGTATACTGTATGTGGTGTACTGTATGTGTGGTATACTGTATGTGTGGTATACTGTATGTGGTATACTGTATGTGTGGTATACTATATGTGTGGTATACTGTATGTGGTATACTGTATGTGTGGTATACTGTATGTGGTATACTGTATGTGTGGTATACTGTATGCGGTATACTGTACAGTGGGGAAAAAAAGTGTATTTAGTCAGCCACCAATTGTGCAAGTTCTCCCACTTAAAAAGATGAGAGAGGCCTGTAATTTTCATCATAGGTACACGTCAACTATGACAGACAAAATGAGAAAAAAAATCCAGAAAATCACATTGTAGGATTTTTTATGAATTATTTGCAAATTATGGTGGAAAATAAGTATTTGGTCAATAACAAAAGTTTCTCAATACTTTGTTATATACCCTTTGTTGGCAATGACACAGGTCAAACGTTTTCTGTAAGTCTTCACAAGGTTTTCACACACTGTTGCTGGTATTTTGGCCCATTCCTCCATGCAGATCTCCTCTAGAGCAGTGATGTTTTGGGGTTGTCGCTGGGCAACACGGACTTTCAACTCCCTCCAAAGATTTTCCATGGGGTTGAGATCTGAAGACTGGCTAGGCCACTCCAGGACCTTGAAATGCTTCTTACGAAGCCACTCCTTCGTTGCCCGGGCGGTGTGTTTGGGATCATTGTCATGCTGAAAGACCCAGCCACGTTTAATCTTCAATGCCCTTGCTGATGGAAGGATGTTTTCACTCAAAATCTCACGATACATGGCCCCATTCATTCTTTCCTTTACACGGATCAGTCGTCCTGGTCCCTTTGCAGAAAAACAGCCCCAAAGCATGATGTTTCCACCCCCATGCTTCACAGTAGGTATGGTGTTCTTTGGATGCAACTCAGCATTCTTTGTCCTCCAAACACGACGAGTTGAGTTTTTACCAAAAGGTTCTATTTTGGTTTCATCTGACCATATGACATTCTCCCAATCCTCTTCTGGATCATCCAAATGCACTTTAGCAAACTTCAGACGGGCCTGGACATGTACTGGCTTAAGCAGGGGGACACGTCTGCAACTGCAGGATTTGAGTCCCTGGCGGCGTAGTGTGTTACTGATGGTAGGCTTTGTTACTTTGGTCCCAGCTCTCTGCAGGTCATTCACTAGGTCCCCCCCGTGTGGTTCTGGGATTTTTGCTCACCGTTCTTGTGATCATTTTGACCCCACGGGTGAGATCTTGCGTGGAGCCCCAGATCGAGGGAGATTATCAGTGGTCTTGTATGTCTTCCATTATCTTAATAATTGCTCCCACAGTTGATTTCTTCAAACCAAGCTGCTTACCTATTGCAGATTCAGTCTTCCCAGCCTGGTGCAGGTCTACAATTTTGTTTCTGGTGTCCTTTGACAGCTCTTTGGTCTTGGCCATAGTGGAGTTTGGAGTATGACTGTTTGAGGTTGTGGACACGTGTCTTTTATACTGAAAACAAGTTCAAACAGGTGCCATTAATACAGGTAACGAGTGGAGGACAGAGAAGCCTCTTAAAGAAGAAGTTACAGGTCTGTGAGAGCCAGAAATCTTGCTTGTTTGTAGGTGACCAAATACTTATTTTCCACCATAATTTGCAAATAAATTCATAAAAAATCCTACAATGTGATTTTCTGGAAAAAAAATGCTCAATTTGTCTGTCATAGTTGACGTGTACCTATGATGAAAATTACAGGCCTCTCTCATCTTTTTAAGTGGGAGAACTTGCACAATTGGTGGCTGACTAAATACTTATTTTCTCCACTGTATATGTGGTGTACTGTATATATGGTATACTGTATGTGTGGTATACTGTATATGTTGTATACTGTATATGTGGTATACTGTATGTGTGGTATACTGTATATGTTGCATACTGTATGTGTGGTATACTGTATGTGTGGTATACTGTATGTGTGGTATACTGTATGTGGTATACTGTATGTGTGAAACCAATTAATGTTAGAGAAGTGCAGATATGTAGTGGGGTTTCTGGAATGATGTGTCTTGTGACTTCCTATTAAACATGTCCAGAGGTGAGTTCAAGAAGGGTTCTGTTTGCCGTGAACATGTTACTTAGTAACAATTTCAGTTGAACGATTTGAATGAACATTCCAAAATGTTACAGTGAAACAACAAACAGCTAAGATTACTGTAATCATACTCCAAATGACTTTCTATTCCTACAACATGCAATAGAAAGCCTACATGGACACATTATTATTTGTATCGGCAGTATAGACCCAAAACAGACACTTATGTTCGCCGCACACTACCTTCACGGACTGTTTCCTAACGTTAGCAAATGTTTGCGGCTAGCACAAAACAAATATGATAACGAATTATTTCCCTTGTTGACCGAACCTCAGGTTCCAGATAGACCTGGGCTGGGATGAAGACAACCTGGCACTGCACTTCAACCCACGTTTTCATGATGTCACTGATGGTGCTGTGCTTGTGTGCAACTCAAAGATTGACGGCTGCTGGGGTCATGAGGAGAGAGAGAAACACAGTTCCCTCCAAAGGGGTTCTACTGTCAAGGTGTGACAGTTGTTGGGATGGGAAGATGGTCCTGACTGGACCAAGGAGGATGTTAGTCAGGATATATACAAATGTTTAAATAAATGAAAATATAATATTTGAGTTAAAAAACGGCATTGTGACATTTCTTAAAGGGATAGTTCAGGATTTTGCCAACGAGTCGGATGAACTCGTGGATAGCATTTTTATGTCTCTGCGTCCAGTATGACGGAAGTTACAGGTAGTTTCGCGAGCCAATGCTAACTTGTGTTAGCGCTAGCTTAGCGCAAAGACTGGAAGTATGCTAGCTGTACCCGAAGACTAGCAGTCTTTTTGCTAATTTACTACCTCATACTGGACGATTCACTACCTCTAACCTCATACTGGACGCAGAGACATAAGAACAATATCCACGAGTTCATCTGACTCTGGGGAGGTAGATAAAGGGCTTTACTGTCTAAATCCTGAATTATCCCTTTAAGATTGTTCAGTGTAGTTAGTTATGAGTTCTGTGATACTGACCGCATTATCGAGCATGAACTGCAATACAGACTTTTATTACTAGATGAATGGATAATCTTGGGCATAGAATAGAGTAATGTAATAAGGAAACCATATATGTATATTTTCTTAAATTCCATTCCTTACTAGTTTTGTGTGTATTAGGTATATGTTGTAAAATTGTTAGATACTACTTGTTAGATATTACTGCACTGTCGGAGCTAGAAGCACAAGCGTTTCACTACACCCGCTATAACATCTGCTAAGCACGTGTATGTGACAAATACAATTTGATTTGATTTGATTTGATGTGGGTATGAGAGTAAGTAAATGTGTTATAATGCGTTTCCTCTCTCCATTCTCTCTCAAGATTCTCCTGAAGCTGACAGGAGATATGTTTGAAGTGGAGATGCCTAATGGACATGAGATCCAGTTCCCCAACCGTCACAGCCTAGACGTCATTACCTACGTTCGTATCAGAGGGGACTTAAAGCTCACCTCCTTTAAGATCTACTAAAGAGACCCATAATATCCACCTTGTGTAGCCTGGCAACAAGGGCACAGACAATTTGTTAAGTTTGTCTTCCGACTTCCGGTGCAGTCCAGCCCAATGACACACAAGCAAGTGGGTGGGGCTACATATGGTGTATGGAGTTAGACCAATGGGTAGTAAGACTGGATCAATGGCCTGTATCAAATATGTCATACTAAAGTGTTTGAAATACTAAATATAAATACGGGGTGACCATGGTCTCTGTGTTTTTGTCTGTTTCTCTCCATGGTACTTTTAGTTGTAACAATATTCTGACATACACTAAACATAAGGGACAACTAGGGACAAGGTTAGGATACTGTCAACTAATTACATCCCTTCGCAAATACAGAAGTGTGACACACACATCTTGGCCGGATGAAATATGACTCAATGTTTTATTTGTTTTGGTGAGAAAGAGCAAACAATGTGTTCTTATACTGTAGTAGACCCAAATGATCACATTATTACTGACCTAATCTCACGTGGACAGATTGGGTAAATTACTGACCAGAAAACAGAATAGCCATTGACTCGAGAAGCATGGCATAATTTTAGATGATTTGAAAATGTTATTTTCTGTATACATTTAATGGAGTAAAACATAATGTATGCATGTTATGTCATCAATAAAGTTCAGCACTATTAAGTAGTGAATGCTGTGTCTTTAGTTCCACGATAACATTGTAACCCTATTCCATACATTAAAATAAAATGTAAAATCTAATTTCTCCCAAGCTTCAAGGCTTTCGATACAGCTTAAAAAAAAAAGAAGAGATTCCTCCATTTGAGTGACTCCCACTTCTCTGGAATGTGTTGTGTGTGTGTGTGTGTGTGTGTGTGTGTGTGTGTGTGTGTGTGTTTTGTGTGTGTGTGTCTTGCTGGTTCACCTTGATTCTACAACATTTTTTACATATAAAACTACATCTTTATTAGAGGAAACACTATAAAGACTTGATGAATAGCCCTTGAGAGAATACTATCTGGTGTACTCCTACACACGGCAACATATTTTCCTGAGTGTGAATTGGAAGGTGGGGATCCAAGTTATAAAAAGACCATGTAAGAATCCAAACTAGACGTATAATCTCTGCTATCACCAAAAAGGAATTTCCTTTAGATGCCTGATGTACCTCAGACCCACTCCTGTCCTGTCCTGTCCACCCTCCCAAACTCCCAAAGGGACAATATATCACGGGCCATGTGAGAGGTTGTCCCTCAGAGTGACTGCAGCTTCAATTACAAGCCAGTTGAGAATGAGGCCTAGTCATCCATCACCACCAGCCCATGGTCGATGAAGATCAACTCCTGCTATTTAGTGAAGCTGGATTTAAACAACAACATAGCAGCAGCAATAACACAGATGCCTGCTGTAAATGGACCCCCGACTACACACACAGAGACCCAACAACATTACAGCCTTTTAGAACCACGACTACACACACAGAGACCCAACAACATTACAGCCTTTTAGAACCACGACTACACACAGAGAGCCTAACAACATTACAGCCTTTTAGAACCACGACTACACACAGAGAGACCCAACAACATTACAGCCTTAGAACCCTCTCACACGAAAACCCAAAAAACATTAAAAAGCCTTTTTAAAAACACTACACACAGAAACCCAACAAAATTACCCTTTTAAACAACGACACACCAGAAACCCAACAACTTACAGCCTTTTAGAACAAAACTACACACAGAGACTCAACACCCTTACAGCCTTTTAGAACACGGGGTCCAAAACCGAAACCCAAAACATTACAAAACCTTTTTTTTTTTGAACAAATACACACAGAGCCCCAACCCAAAATTACAGCCTTTTTGAATAACGACTACACAAGACTCAAAAAACTTTACCCTTTTGAACAACGACTACCACAAACCCCCAAACATTACAAATTTTAGAACAAAAAGACTAAACAGACTCAACAACCCCAAACCTTTTAGAACAACACTACACACAGAGACCCCAAAAAAATTACATTTTAGAACAACGACTACACCAGAGAGACCCCCCAACATACAGCCTTTTAAAACGACACACACAGGCCTAACAACTTAAAGCCTTTTTTAACAAAAACACCAACAAGACCCAACAACATCACAGCCTTTTTAAACCCCGATAACACACAGAGACCCCAAAAAATTAAGCTTTTTGAAACCCCACACATACCAGGGCCCAACAACTTTAAAACCTTTTTTGAAAAACGACTCACACAGACTAAAAACATTACAACCTTTTTAAAAACGACTAACCGATCAAAACATTACGCCCTTTTTGAACAAACCCACCCGAGCCCCCCAACATTACAGCCTTTTGAACAAAGACTACACCAAGAGACCCAAAACATTTCGCCTTTTAAAACCGACTAACCCCAGAGACCTAAAAACTTTCAGCCTTTTAGAAAAACAACTACACAACAAGACCCAAAAACTACCCTTTTAGAACCACGACCACACAAGAGACCCAACAACTTAAGCCTTTTTTGAACCACATAATACACAGGACCCAACAAAATTACACCTTTAGAACAACGATCACACAGACCCCAACCAAAATTTCGCCTTTTTGACCCCCCGACTACACACACGAGACCCAACAACATTCAGCTTTTTTGAACCGACTACAAAGAAACCTAACAACATTACACCTTTTTGAACAAAAACACACCACGGACCCAAAAAAAAACCCCACCCTTTTAGAACCACGACTCACACAAAAGAGACCCCAAAAACATTACGCCTTTTAGAACCCCACTACATACACGAGACCCAAAACATTACAGCCTTTTTGAACAACGACAACCCAGAGAAACCCAACAAAATTAAAGCCTTTAGAATCAGACTACACCAGAGACCTAAAAACATTACAGCCTTTTAGAAAAACAAACTCCACACAAAACCCAACAACATCCCAGCCTTTTTTGAACCACGATACCACCAGAGACCCAAAAATTACAGCCTTTTTGAACCACGAACAAAGAGGGCCCAAAACCCCTTACAGCCTTTTAAACCGACTAAACCCCAAAAACCCACAACATAAGCCTTTTAGAACAAGCTACACACAAAACCCAAAAAAAACAGCCTTTTTTAAAACGCTCACACAGAAACCCAACCACATTACGCCCTTTTGAAAAGACTACCCCAAGACCCCAAAAACATTACAGCCTTTTTGAACACGACAAACCCGAACCCCTTGCTTTTAAAAAACCCACTCACCAAACCCAAAACATTACAACCTTTTAAAAAACTCCACACTCCTACCCAAAAACAACCTTTAAAAGGGCCCCAAAACATTAATTTGCCCACTCACCCAGAAATCAACCCTTGCCTTTTCAAATCAAAGCCCAAAAAAAAGTTTAGAACAAACCCAGGAAAACAAATTCAATTTTAAATGATCCAAGACCCCCCAACTTAAGGTTTGAAAACAAATCCCAACCCGGCCCCAAAAAAAATACCCCTTTTGCAGTACCCCACCGGGCCAAAAATTAAAAAGCCTTTGAACCCCGTTAAAAGCCCAACCTTCCCCCCTTTTTAAAAGGGAAAACGATCAACAACCCCTTCCCCCTTTTAGAAAACGGGGTCAACCTAAAAACCTTAAGTTTTGAAAAACGTAAACCCCGGAAAAAATTAAGGCCCTTTTTAAAATGAATCCAAAAACCCCCAAAAAATTAAAATTTTGAAAACGAAACAAGAAACCCAACTTCGCCTTTTGAAAAACAATAAAAAGAGAAAAAAATTTCAGCTTTTAAAAAATAAACAGGCCCCAAAAAAATTGAGACTTTTTGAAACCCCCCCCCCTCAAACCCCCTTCCCTTTGCCACTCCCTCCCTTCCCCTTTAAAACCCTCCCCCCGGCTCCACAAGATACCACACAAGCCCAACAACATTACAGCCTTCTAAACCACGACTACCAAAAGGCCTGGTTTTCTCACTCCGCTCACTTCTAAAAACACTCCTACAACTCTTACACACCCTACACCTCCTGAAAACCTCCTAGCAGAAAGCCAACCTATACAACAAAATGACAGATTTAAAAATGGTCTGCCCACTTGGTCACCCACGTAAACTGCACCAATTTTGCCCTTTTTCAAAACTCTAAATGAAAATGGATACTGTAAAAACCCATGAATACTTTAAAAGGGTCAATTTTACAATAGAGCCGATACAGGGCACTCAAATGTTTTCAAAAGGGCACTTTGCCTTTCTCGGGGGCCTATCTAGGTGAGGCTTTGCTCAGTACCACCGACTCTAAGGGAAAGAGTTTCTTTCGCAATCTTTAAATATGGAAAAAACAACTTCCGCAAATTAAAATAAGGGGAAAACTTTTAGTTGTTCCCCCTGCCGTGTCACACCAACTGTGTCTTACGAAAATTTGGGTCTCGTTTTAAATCGCTTTTAGGCGTTAAGTTGTGGTAGGGAACTACAAATATAATGCGGGTTGGGGTGAATGCTTCATCTTCCCTGATTTGTGGTGAGGAGCGTAATTTTGAAAACAGTTGAGGTGAAGCTTTTAATCTGTCTCTACACACAGTAATAAAGTATGGGTGGAAAAAAAGAGTTTTACAAAAACGAAGATGCAAATAAACCCCGGCCCAAAAAAATATTCAGATCTCTTTTTTGCACCCCCTCCCTTTTTCATCACCTTCCCTTCTCTCTCCCCCCCCACTCCTTTCCCCCCTCCCTCTTCTGTACCCCACTCCCCTCCCCCCTCTTTCAGCGACAAAAAGGGGGAAGGGTTTGGAATAATTTCCCTTGGAACTCTTACACACGGAACAGCAGCTCTTTCCTCAAGGAGCTTTTAGCTTTTTTGGTGGCCAATATGTTTTGGGGAAAAATACCGCCCCCTTTCCCCCGCAAAAGCATTGGGCCCACAGGGCCCCCTTTACCCCTTTCATTCACATTCCCCTCTTTCACCCTTTTTCTCTCCTCCCCCCCCCTCTCTCTCCCCTTTTCCCTCTCTCATTCTTTTCCAC